GATGGGTGAATTGCAGAGGAACGTTCCTTGCAGCAGGATGGATGCTACAGCACAAAACTGACCCTGCTAATGCTAATTAAACTGGAAGAGTTGATTAGGTAAATGGCAATTGCACTAACACACTCTGAAGGAACAATGAAGCACAAAACCTGATTCCAGGAGAATCACAGATCCCCTGTTCCCGATATCCTTCAGGCAGCTGTGGCAGGATTAATGTGAGGAGCAGCATCTCCAAAACCTGAGCTTTCTGGAGCTCGTTAACACATCCCAGCTTGCTTTCCCTCTGTGGATCTTTTCCTTCCCTAGGCCCGTGGAATCATTTGGGTTGGAAAAGATCCTCAACACCACCGGCTCCAGCCCTTGGTGAGCACCTGGAGGACCTGGCAGTGCTGGAGGAATGGCTGGATGGCCTTTGAGGGCTTTTACAAACGAATGATTCTGTGACTTTGTGTTTTTCTCAGGAGCTGAGCACATTTTTATCCCCACAGCTGTGGTGAAGATGTTTATTTGTGCTGCCGTGGCACTCCAAGCTCCAGCTCTGGACTGGGATCCAATTATGTCAAGTGCTCCCGGATTTAAGGAGGGATCATGGAAGGGGGGGAGCGGCGGTGACAGAAGCAGCTCCTCAGGGAAGAGCTCCAGTCCTGCTGGATTGGGGAATGGAAGGATTGCAATTCCTGTGCCTGCTAGCACAGGGACACGGGAATGCCAGGATTTCTGCTACAGGTGGGTGCATCCCAGCACGGAGCCAGGCAGCTGGAGCAGCACTGGCCGGGAGCAAAAGGCATTCAAAGGCACAAAACCAATTATTAAAATATAAAGACTTGAAAGAAAAACTGACATTCTAAAAAAAAAAAAAAAATAGAAAAGGAACAAAAACCTGAGGCAGGACAAGTTACAATAAAAACAGCTCGGGGGAAAATGCTTTTGGAGCCAAGTCAGGCACATTAAACCCTTGGAAAACATCAGGAATATTCACCTTGCTCTCAACAATTATTTGCAAGTTTAGAGCTGAGGTTTCTCACTGTGAGTTCATCTCTCCTTCAGTGCTTAATGAGATAATTCTAAGCTCTAAAAGCTGCCAGAAAATTGGTATGAGGGACTTTTCTGCACTTTGGTTCACAAATACTCACAAAGGCATAAAACTGGGTTTGGAGCTGCTGCTATCCATTGTTTCCCATGGCTGGGCACTCGGGGTTAATTAATTCCCAACTGGAGAGCTCCGTGCTGAAGTGCAGGGCTGGTGTGAGCACAGGGTGGCACCTTTGCAAATTCCATCAGAAATAAAGTGCTGGGAATGAACCCATCCCATTATTCTGTCTGCTGTGAAATGCCATTTGCTGCCAGAATGATTGCAGCTCATCAACAGAACGGCTGTGTCAAGGAGGACCTGAATTCCCTGGAAAGACATGGATGCTTTCCCAAGCTCTCTGCAATGGGTGGGGTGGGGATGCTGCTGATGGTGGCAAAGCCCTCATGAGGAGCTGTGACAAGGAAATGCAAACCCCAGGGGAGGGTTGGATGCAGATAAAAGAATAAGAGGAATTTTCTGATCCAGGCTGGGGTTATCTGGAGGTTATGGGGTGCCAAATCCAGGGATGAGCTCCAGAATCCAGGCTGGTGGGACACCTCTCCAGGGACATGAGCAAGGAGTGGCTCAATCTCCACGTCTGGGACATGTCTCAGGAAGAATTTCTGCATGGCAAGGGTGCTCAGGTATTGGAAAGGGAGGAAGGGGTAGAGTCCCTGTCCCTGGATCTGTCAGCAAGGCCTGGAGGTGACACCATGGGCTCTGGGGACAAGCTGGGGATCAGGCAAAGCTCAGCCCCGGTGATCCTGGAGTTCTTTTCCAACCTCAGTGATCCTGGGATGCTGTGACTGGGATGTTGCACAGATGTCCCCATCCATGCCACCGCTTTCCCTGCCACCAGCTACGGGCTGTGACTCCATCACTTCTCCTTGGTAAAGCAAGATCCAGCTGCAGGCAGCCCCTGCCCCAGGACAGGGACCCCCCCACCTGCCCCTCCACTCCCAGGAGCGTGCAGGGAGAAGGGAACACCAGGAAAGCTCCCCTGGACACAGCTAAATCCATTCCTTCATTTAAATCACCCAGACTGGTACAAGAGATCTCTGCACCAGGCACACAAAACTTCAGGTTTAGCCTCACTTCATCCCTCAGTGAATTCCACCATTTTATTCCAGCAGGGAGGACAGTGGACAGAAGTCCCTCCCGAGCAGTTCAGAGCCAAAGCCAAGGTGCTGGAGGTGTTTTTCCCCTCACAGACCCCTGCAGAGCTGGCTCTTCCTGTGAAGCCCAGGAAGCGCTTGGCTGAGGCTGCTCCTGGGAGATTTGGGCTATTCTTAGCCCAGGGAAGGAACGGCGCTGTCACAACACGGAGCAGGGAATAAAGGAGCTAAAAAAGGAGCTGGGGGATGACTTCACTGGCATTTTGCCTCACAAGTTCATATTCATGTTGTAAAAATATTTATTTGCCTTCTCGGCCTATCGATCGGAAAGAATCAGATCGATAGCAAAAAGAATCAAATCCAGTTAAACTTAATCAGCTGCCTGGATCCGGGAAAGTGGCATTTCAGGGAGGAGGGGTGAAATCCAGAATTATTGGATTCTGAAGGCTCGAAGGTTGCGGATTTGGACACGCAGAGATGTTTCTGCTGTTTTCCCTGGAGAAGCAGTGTCAGGCAAGGTGAGCACTGGGGACCACTGGGATCACTGGATCCATCCCTCTGCTTTCCAGCAGGAAACACCCAGCCGTGCCCTGCCTACCCCTGGGAGGCTGCAGCATTCCAGGGGTACATCCCATGGAACCACAGAGTTGTGAAGGTTGGAAAAGCGCTCCAAGACCATCTACTCCAACTGGATTTGCTGTTTGTGACAAAAGCCAGAGCTCCTTTGGAGGAGCTGTGTCTTGCACACTCAGCAGATCCCAAGTGGCATCCCTGGAGCAGAGCTGGACAGCAAATCCCTGCTGGGGGTGGAGTGTCCCCAGCACCGGCAGCTGGGAGTACCAGGGGCTGTCCCTGTCACCGGCTGTGACTCTCCCAGCAGGGCTGCAGGAGGTGCTGCCAGTTCTCTCCCTCTCCTCGGTGCTCCAGCCCAGCCAGTGACCACTGCAGCTCCAGCCACCCCTCCCAGGGATGCTTAAACACATCCAGGGATTCCTTCCCCAGGGCCTCCAGCAATATTGGAATCCTTCCCTAACGAGGGAATGGTCCTTGGCCACCACTGACGCCACGGATTTGGAAGCTTTCAGAAAAATGAGTTACAGGAGCCTGAAGTTGGAACAAGCCCAAACCAAATCAAGGGGGGGGGAAAAAAGAATCCTCCTTTAACTTTTCCTCCCTCTCCACATGTCCCACGTGCCCTCTCCTGCTGGTGACAGCTCAGCTCACAGCAGCCACTTCTGGAGCAGCCAAAATAGGCCACACTTAGTTAAGAGCAATTTAAACATGACCTTGCTCCTGGTGCAAATGAAATCAAATCCTTTCATAAATCTGTTAACTGCTGGTGACTGACTCTGGGGAAGAGCTGACATCTCCCAGCCTAACCTATTTTTGAGTCTAGACATGCCAGATGTGTCCTGCCGCTGGTTCCTTGAGTTATTTTCTGCTATTCAGGGATGTATTACAGCATCTGTGACAAGCTACAATGGATGAGATCAGTGAAATTCCGGGACTCTCCACATGATTTATGGATATTAGCAAGGCTCTCTTAAGTGATTTACTCTCATCCAACCTGCTGCTCAGAGCTCAGTCCTGCAGCCCCAGCGAGCTGTTTTCCAGGGAAAGGCTGCTCCCTCCAGCCCCACAGCACAGAATATCCCAAGTGGGAAAGGATCCATGAGGATCACAAGAGTCCAACTCCAGCACCCCCAAGACAAAAGAAATAAACCCAAAAGTAACTCTGAGTACACAAGATCCTTGAACATCTTTGAGCAGAAATGTGAGCAAGAAAGAGAAGAGGATGATGTGCCACCATCATCAAACAGAGGCAGTTTTGAATATTCCAAATGGTTTTCCCAAAAAACTCCAATTAGAGACTACAACTGCCTTGAAAATGCACTGAATTTGATGCTTGGCACTTGCAATAATTAGGAATTACACCCTTGGCTGCTTTTCCAGCTCTGCATTAGCAAAGGGATCTGTGTGGGGCTAGGGAGGGAACACCAAGGGGGAGGGAGACACAGCCCTGTCCCTGCAGAGGGGACACAAACCCTCCTGTCCGTGCAGAGGGGACACAAATCCCTGTCCCTGCAGAGGGGACACAAATCTCAGTCCCTGCACACACAAACCCTCCTGTCCCTGCCTCGCTTCCTTCACGCCTGATGGGTTCTCCAATGCCCATCAATAAATTATTCCTAATGAGAAATTATTTAATGGACTGAGCAGAATTTATGAGCATGATCTGCTGAGGATAAAACCAGCACAGAGGCTGCTCCCAGTAAATCCCAGCCCCAGCCCTTCCCACCGACAGCGCCCCTCAAATTTGGGACAAATACCTGAGCTCAGGATAGGCTGCAAGAACCTGTTCATAACTCAGGCACTTCAGCCCAAAGTATGGACTTGGGTGCTGTAATTCCACCTGTTTAACATAAATATTCTATATAAAATTAATTACAAGTGAAGGTCTCCCCTCAGGCACAGGGGATGGGGTCAGGCTTCAATCAGGACCAGAACGTATTCAGAAGAAATAAAATATTCTGCCTTCATTTGCTTCAAAGATTTGTGAGGAAAACAGGAGATGTGTTACATGGTTATTCCCTTTAAAAGTAATTTTCCAGCCAAAACATCAAAAATAGATTTAAAAGGTGTTTCTCTTGTTCAAAGGCAGGAAGGACAAACCTGAACCAGCCTGGTACAGAGAAGAAAAAGACATTTCCATGTTCCTAATGCAAGTTTTCTGTTCTTTTCAACTTTTTTTATTAAAACAGGTCAAAATTTTAATGGAGAACTCTTTTTTTTAAAAAAAAAGAAAAAGCAAATGTTTCACGTTAGAGCTGTTGTATAAGGCTTATCCCAAAGCTGAGCTCACCCAGTTTGCTCAGCGCCTGTTCCTGGTGTACCTGGAGCCCCCGGGACATTCCCACAGTGCCTCACAGAGCTGGGAATGCCACAAACACCGGGAATAACAAAGCACAGGAGCACAGGCAGTGAGGAACAGGCAGCAGATCCCTCCTGGCCACCCCAATTTCCATTTCATTCCAATGGGCAGCAGCAGAAGCGAGGCAGGCCCGGCCTGGGCCCGACTGCGCCACTCCCGCTGGGCAGGCCGGGGCCTCACTGCCCTCTTGCCCTGATTGCAAATAAATCCCCTTTTAACAGACTGACGGATCTGCTTTCGCTCTTGGTTTTTAATCATCCTTTTAATCTCCCTGAGGACCTCGGGGCCTCTTTGGTGCGGGGCCGGGGGTGGGGATGAGGAGGCTGCAAAAGCCACGGCTAAGGACACAGAGGAGACGCAGGCCCTGCAAGCCCGGGGTCTGCAGAGGAGCAGAGATTCACATCTGGATCAAGAACTGAGCCCTGGACACAAACACATCCACTTCCCATTGCATTTCCACTATGGAACTCCAAGAACACACTCGCTGGGCCAGCCCTGGGTGAGAGTCAGCAGAACCAGGGCCTGAGGGAATTCCTGCCCTAAGCAGAGCTCCAGGGGAATGTGGGATCCCATATCCACTGCCTGGGAATGTGGGATCCCAGAGCTCCAGGGGAATGCAGGGCTCCCTCATCCACTGCCCGGGAATGTGGGATCCCAGGAAAAGGGGAAACCCAGCTGAGCAGCATTCCCAGCTCCATCTGCTCCGCAGGAGTCTGGGCACCATCCTTAGAACAAGGGGGAAGGGGCTGCAAAGAGCACCAGAGCCATGAATGTAAGAACATTCCCCACCCCGCACCAAAAAGCCTTTTTAGGGCTAAGGCTGCAACGTCTCTGTTTGGTTTTTCCAGGAACAGCAGCACCCACAGCGAGTGATGCCTTTGGCAGGGAAGGTTCCAAAAGACAGGATCAGATCCACACATCCCTCCTGCTGGGTGTCCATGGGGAACCTCTGAGGTTCTCCAAGCAGGAGAGAGGCCAGGGCTGATACCAAGCTGCAAAACCAGGAGCTGGAAGGGAGAGACCTCACGGGATGAAAAGCTTGTCCCCATGCTGTCCCTGGCAGTGGCACATAGCCACACACAGCCCTGCAGCCAGCTGCTGCACAGGGAATGGTACAGGGGCTGCCCAGGCAAGAAAATGTCCCTAAAACTTCCCAAATTCACCAGCAAAACCCATATGAGGAGTTCCACGTGGGCTGTGATTCCCAGCGCCATCCGCGATCCGACAGCGAGCTCTCCTCAGTGTTCCCACAGTGTTAATTTTGCAGGACTACACGGAGTCAGGAAAATATTTCCTGTGATGCTGTCAGATCCTCTCTACTTGGTGTTTCTGAGAATAAAATCCTGTTTGCCCTTAATTAGTGATGGGATGGAACTCCAAACCAGGTCAGCTGGAAGGCTGGAGGAGGATGCCTGACCTGTCCTTCCTCCCAGACCAAACTGAGGGGATGAACCCTGCTGGGTGAAGGTCCTTCTCAATATCCTGGGAAGAGAGGAGAGCACAACTCTGGGCCTGGAGGCTCTGGAGCACAACTCTGGGGCTGGGAGTCTGGGAGTGGTGTGCCAGGAAAGCCCTGGATGGAATCAGGAATCCTCATCTTCACCTTCCACTGCCCCTGAGCACAGACAGACCCCACAGATTCCATAAAACACCTCTGCTGGACAGCAGGAACATGTGGAATTCAGCAAGCACGGTAGCTTGGGCTATTCCAAGAGCCAGGTTTTCCAGGAGGGCAGAGCCTGATGCTGGGTTTGTGCTGGGAATTATCTCCCCTCACAGTCTGAGCAGCAAACAGAGGTGATGGAATTTGCGCATCCGAGTGAAAGCAGCCAAACGTGCTCTGCATCGCTCAGCACAATCCCCTGGAAGGGAAAGGGATGCTTCCTGTGAGAAAAGCCATGGAGAATTCCTGCCAGCCCACCAGAAGCCCACAGATTTTTATTTTTATAACCCCAGGGGGAAAATGAAAGCCTTGGGAGAGCTGGAGAGAATCTAAAATCCAGGTGACACTTCCCTAAAGCTACAATCAAGGCTCTCTCCTCTGGGATTAACCCCCAGGGCTGCTCTTTCCAGGGATTTCACCATGCAGGCAGCTCTGAGAGCTCAAAGGGAATGATCAGTTTCTGAACCAACTAACCTTAACCATGGAATCCCAGAATCTCAGCCTGATTTGAGTGGAAGGGACCTCAAATCCCCCCCATTCCCACCCGTGCCATGGCAGGGACAGCTCCCACTGTCCCAGGCTGCTCCAAACCCATCCAGCCTGGCCTGGGACACTGCCAGGGATCCAGGGACAGCCCCAGCTGCTCTGGGAATTCTATCCCAGGGCCTGCCCACCCTGCCAGGGAACAATTCCTGCAATCCCAAGATCCCATCCAGCCCTGCCCTCTGGCACTGGGAGCCATTCCCTGGCTCCTGTCCCTCCATCCCTTGTCCAAAGTTTGGCACCAATCACTACAGAAAGAGCAAAGGCACCTGTTCAAAAAGGAACAAAATCAGAATTTCCTCTGAACACCTGTCCATGGGAGATGGCTGGAGCTGAGCAAGCCAACAGATTTCCCTCCAAACAGCCCAAAGTCCCCATGGAGCAGCTGGGGCAAGTGGATCTTTGCCCCTTTTGTATTTCCTTCAGATCAAAATGAGAAGTTTCCCCCATGGCAACACATTGCAGTCCAAGCTAGTTCTGATAAATGCTTTCAGGAGGTCTTCAGGAGGAAACTGGGACAATTCCCCAATAAAACCCCAGCTCTGGCTGTTCTCTTGGACACACACGTGCTCCTGCTTCCCAACAATCCGCATCGCTTCTTTTCCCAAAGAAAATCCTGCCGCTTTTAGCCTCACAGAAACAAATCTGGGTTTAAGTTTTGACCTTGCTTGCTGTGAACAAACTCTCCGGGGGCCGTGCTCCAGTGCCTGAGGCTGCTATTCCTGCCGGGGCTGTTATTTGGGAGTGACGCCGCTCCTCAGCCAGGAATAGCTACGGGACCCGGAGCTGCACACTGAACTCCCTGCTGGGGCTTTCCTGCGCTTCCAACAGAGCTGTCACCGATGCCACTCCTGCCACGGATGGGGCTGGTGAAGAGGTGGAAGTGTGAAGAGAAATCTTGGGTTTTCAGGGCTGGGTTCAGATGCAGAGAGAGCTGCCAGAACTGGCTCTGCTCCCAAAGCGTTGGGATTGGCTGTGGAATCACCCCAAGGATAATCACAGGACCCCGCCGTGTCACCCAATTTGTGTCTGGCTGCAGCTGGAATTTCGTGGTATTTCTGGATCTGAGCTGGATTTGTGGCACTTGGGGGCTCCATCTGCTGTGTCCCCCCACCTCCTCCAGCACGGAGAGCCTGGATTGCACAGGGAACCTGAGAATGTTCCAGCACCTTCAGGTGAGGCTCTGCTGCTGCTTTGGGACCTGCAGGTTGGGCTCTGAGCCCTGGGGACAGTCCAGGACACCCTCCCAGTGCTGCAGCCCCTGCAATCCAACACAACTTCCAGCACCAGCTCATTCCAGGGGCCTTTCCATGTGCAACCCACCTCTCCTGGCTCTGCCATTCCTTAATTTGATACATCAATAGCCCCCATCACTTTTAAAATACAGCTTAGAAATACCAGCAATGCCAAAAATATGGAGGATCTCACAAGAGTACAGATTTCCTGACAAAAACCCAAAAATGCCACCTCCTGGGCCCCTTGGCCAGGGCCAGCCAGTCCTTCCCTCCTTTTCCTGGGATCCCCACACCCCTGTCCTCATGGAGGTGAGGATGGGGTTCACAGTTCACAGCAAACCCTATTCCCATGGGATGTGCTCCAGTGAAATTATCAAAGAGAATAAAATCCAGATCTTTAAAGGCAAAATCCTGAAGTTCTCTACAGGGGAGTCTTCAAAGCGAAGCTGCTTCCCTTCTAATTCCTTTTGTGCGGAAAATTTAGCAAAGATATTTCTTTTTTTCCATCCAAACAAAATGTTCTAGATCAGTTTCCTTTTGGGAAGTCCTATAAAAAATGGCCATGTTCAAACCAGAGCCCTGGCTGGAGGAGGTGCGGTCTCTTCTGGCCAGGATGCTCCAGGAGAGCTCCCAGGAGAGTTCAGATATGGATCCCTCAGTGCTGGATCCATCCATGTTCTCCCAGAGGAACTCCCAGTTCCTCAGGAAGCAAATCCAGGCTCCTCTCTAACATTCCCGAGCCTGTGCCCACAGCAGGGGCACCTTTGGGGTACAGCTGGGGCTTTGTGCCATTTCCCCACTCCAAAGGTGTCCCAGCAGTGCCCTGGGGAGCTCCACACCCGCTTTTCTCACGGCTGACCTGAGCAAACCAGCCCCAGCTGAGCCTGAGCTGAGCCACCAGCACGGTGCAGGTTTTATTCCCAGCCCAGCAGACAGAAAATGAGAAGAATCCTTCAGCCTGAAATAAAGGCAGTGCCTCCTGCAAACCCCACAAATCCCCAGGGCTGGTTGCAGACTGTGGCAGTGCAGAGAGCCCAGCACTAGCCTGGAACTGATTTTCATCCTCCATGCTTAAATCGTCAGCTTTGCTCATTTGGCTTCCAGAGAAATTGTTGTTTTAATGGGAACTGGAGGTGCTCAGCACATTCCAAACATAAATCCCAGACTGTTCTGCACCAAAGCGGGATGAGTGAGGTCTGTGGGGGCCTGTGCAGCTCCTCTTGTTCTGCAGCAGGTGATAAACATTGCTAATTAAAATAGTTTATAATTGTCTCCGAAAGGTTAAAAATGCCAGAGCACAAAATTTGGACTTTTCCTGACTAAATTGTACTTTTCTCCCCCGGCTCCCCGGGCTGTCTCCATGGCTACCAGGAGATTGCTGGGCTGCCTGTGCCAGGCTAATTGATTTCCAGGAAGGAATGATTAATAAAGAACAACAGAGTCTCCCTCTCTGGCAGGGCACTTCTCCCAGCAGCCTCTTCCTTTTCCTCTGGGAGCGCCTGGACTCCGGAGGCAGATCCGGGCTGTTCCATAAATCCCAGCCCCATAAACACCTGGAATCTCCCCAGCCCACAGGGATAAAATGGATGAGAATCCTTCACTCGGGACAGCCACAGCACCTGGGAAGGGAATTATGGCTGATGTGGGAGAGATTGGATCCGAGCCCCGCGCTCTGCCCGGGAATCCGTCACGCTCGCCTTGCCATGGATTAAATTGCATTCCTGGAAAGCAGAGCCCTCGGTGTCAGAGCAGCCCAGAGAGAAAATGATTGTCCTCTGCTTCCTCCCTGAGCCTGGAGCCAGCCAGGAGAGAGGGAAAGTGGCACCTTCATCCTGCCATCCCTGATCCTGCCATCCCTGATCCTGCCATCCCTGATCCTGCCATCCCTGAGCTCTGCCATCCCCTCATCTTCCATCCCTCATCCTGCCATTCCTGATCCTGTCATCCCTGAGCTCTGCCATCCCTCATCCTTCATCCTTCCATCTCTGATCCTGCCATCCCTGAGCTCTGCCATCCCTGAGCTCTGCCATCCCTGAGCCTGCCATCCCTGATCCTGCCATCCCTCATCCTGCCATCCCCTCATCCTGCCATCCCCTCATCCTGCCATTCCTGAGCTCTGCCATCCCTCATCCTTCCATCCCTGAGCTCTGCCATCCCCTCATCCTTCCATCTCTGATCCTGCCATCCCTGAGCTCTGCCATCCCTCACCCTTCCATCTCTGATCCTGCCATCCCCTGTTCCTGCCATCCCTTCCCAGGCCCTGAGCGATTCCCAGCCTGTGGCTCTGCTGCTTCCAGACCTGCTCCAAGCACAGCTCCAGGCTCAGCCACTCACAGAATCCCCCTGGGAGCAGCTGTATCCCATCCCTGCTGGCTTGGGAATGTTGTGACATCCCTTGGGAGCAGCTGGATCCATCCTTGCCGGCTTGGGAATGCTGTGACATCCCCTGGGAGCAGCTGGATCCATCCCTGCTGGCTTGGGAATGCTGTGACATCCCCTGGGAGCAGCTGGATCCCTTCCCTGCCGGCTTGGGAATGCTGTGACATTCCCTGGGAGCAGCTGGATCCATCCTTGCTGGCTTGGGAATGCTGTGACATCCCCTGGGAGCAGCTGGATCCATCCTTGCCGGCTTGGGAATGCTGTGACATTTCCTGGGAGCAGCTGTATCCCATCCCTGCTGGCTTGGGAATGCTGTGACATCCCCTGGGAGCAGCTGGATCCATCCCTGTCAGGTTGGGAATGCTGTGACATCCCCTGGGAGCAGCTGGATCCATCCCTGCTGGCTTGGGAATGCTGTGACATCCCCAGTGCTACTCTCACATTCCACCTCAGACTTTACACCGGGGTGTAACCCCGCCCCGTTTCCCAGGATTTCAGTGCCAGATCCCAAATTTCCACCGGGAATGCTGCGGGAGC